AATAATAGAAAACTACTATATCCTGTTAACTTTTATTACTAATTTGTTGATTTTCTTCATTTTTCTGTTAAGATTTGCTAAATTTTATCAATATTTTTTTAAATTTAAATAAAATTATAGAACGAATATTATTACTACTTAATTTCTGTGATTCTATTTCATCTTAATCTATATGATTTTTTTAATTGTCTGTTATGTTCTTTGATAACACTTTTCTTGATCTCTCTCTCCATTTCACCAATCTCAGGGTGGCAGTATCATGATTGTTTATCAGTGGTTTTTTTCCAAGGCTGCTTAATATGTCATCAGGTTTTCATTTTTTTATATTGTCCAAAAGTTTTATTCTCATCCTGCTTTTTACAGATTTTCCTTCCATTTGATCCTCCAAGAAAGTTGTATATCCATCAGAATGGAGTAGATGATCTATCATGCTATTTCCTCTCTGTTTCTATTGTATTTAGCAAATTGGATTTTTCTTTCTACCATCTTTAGAATGTCTTTGTTCTATACATTACCATTCCAAGATGTTTTCAACTTGCAATATCCAGCATCACATAGATTTTCTGTTCACAGTACTTGCTACAATCTTCCTACAGCATCACATTTTGAATACTTTGATTTTTTTCCTTTGGGCCTTCTTGAGTGTTTATGTCTCAGAAGCATAGGAATTTCTAGCTGCTACATCTTTTCCTCATTTTTTGTCAAATGTTATAATACTGTACTGCAAGGTAGCTAAACACTTTATTTGAGGAGTTCTTTTACCTTTCAACCTAATGTCAGCTTTTTGTTTATCATCTCATGTATACTTCATTATTTTGTCTTTTTTCTTGTTGTGTTTTCCATTAAAAGTTCATTTATGTTTTTTAGAGAATATTGTAGGTTCTGTTGTGAGAGCTATGTCATCTGCAAAGCAGATTGTAATAAAGAGTTTGCCATTCACTTCAAGACAAGTATGGTTTGATTCTGTAAATTGCCTCATTTCCTTGCTATATATGTTGAAGAGTATTGGTGATAAATCACATCTCTGCCTAACTTTTTTCAATAATTTTGAAGAGCTGTTTGATTTTTCTATGGCTAGTATATTATCATATAGTCTCTACAGTTATTTTTTTCAGTTCTTAAGAACTTTGAACAATGTATTCCACTCTACATTGTCAAAAGCTTTCTCAACATTACTTTTTTTGATAGATGAATAAAATTTAAGAAATATATCTTTTCTTACGTTTTATGACAAAAGCATTCATAAATTTTTTTTTCTTGTTATATGCTTGTGTCGGTTTTATGAGTGATATATTCATCATTAATAAGAAAGTAATTCATAATTATCTTTGTATCTAAGGGAAATATATAAATAATTTTTATGAAAATTAGAAAGTAATATTTTTTTTAATTTATCAGTGAATATTATTATTGTATTTTACTATTTTCTTTGATTTTTTTTTTGTTTCTCTTTTAATAATAATAAATAAAGCCCTTCATTGCAATACTGAAAACAAGTATTCTGCACAGAATATCATGCATGTTGTTGCGTTACTTGTGACAAAGAAAAATAATTAGGATAATTTTCAATGAACATTAAGCTGCTTCTAACACTGAATAACCAATGTATTGTAACCTGTCGAAAATAAAAATGTTTCTGATATCTTACTGATAGCAATATATAAGCATGTTGGAATCTGTTCATTTTATAAACCAATGCCTTGTTTTCTCTTTTTCTTTCAATAGTCACTTTTGAAAAAAATAAGAAACTCCCCAATAAAACACCTTGAACACTTCCAGCACTGTTTTACTTGTCTGACAAACATTTCTTGGCTCACTTCATAAACCTGCACCAAGTTTACCATGAATTCAAACTTCCATCATTCTAAATTGGATGTTAACTGGTTCAATGATGTTTTTTATATAAAAATCTACAAGATGGAACAGACTACGTAACCATATATTTTCAATATTTAAAAGTTGTGAAATAATGCCTATTGTTTCATAGGATTTATACTAGTGCCTTTAAATAATATATGTAGTGGAACTCCTGTTCAGAGCCAGCACTAAAGTTTATGCCGCCTGGGGCAAGACATGCATTTGACACCCCTTATCCCCCTACATAAAATGATAAAATTTTGTTTTGAAATGCCATACTAATTAGAAGTTCCAGACCTTGCTCTGTCAATCAGTATTCAATTTGCACCATGTAATATAAATAAAAATTTTAAAAATATTTTAAAATAATATGCATGAAAATGTTGTATAAATTTATGAAAATTTGCTGCTCTGGGCCAGTTTGCCCATGCAGTAGTGCCAGCCTGTTGAGTTCTCTTCTGCAGGTTATCATAAGATGATTGCAAAGCCAATGATAAGGAAATAATTCCTCATCAAACCCTTTAACTGGTATTAAACAAGAGTAAAATTACTTGCAAACGTTTACTCTTGTTTAATACCGGTTAAAGGGTTTGATGAGGAATTATTTTCGTATTTTAATCCGGTATTTGAAGATTTTTTATCCAATGATAAGGATTCACAATCTTTGTAATTTAGGCTTTTTTTTTTTTTAAAGTGCCCTTAAATGTCTCCAAAATTTCTAGAACTTGTAGGTGCTATTTGTTGAATACTTGTCATTAATTTGGCTTCATCCAGATTTGCAACTACTAGAGCTCTGCAGCATAAGTCAATATATCAGTATCAGACCAGTATTGGTTTGATATCAGTTACATGTCTAGAAAATAAAGATAGTATTGAAACAAATATTATTCTTTACTTAAAAACAAATCATGAGTGGTTAGTAGGTGTGTAAGAGCAGAGCAAGCTTAGTAATCTAGATTTAAGAAAATAATCTGTTATTTTTGATAAATGTTATTGTTATTAGCTTATAATAGTTTATTTTAATTAATAATTATTCATATTTTAATAACTTTTATAATAAAATGATATTATTATTTATTTAGAAGATGCATTGGGAGCAGAAACATATTGGGCAAGTGGCCTTCATTTATATACACCTCTTCCCTTTTGACCTGGAAGAGACGGAATTGGAAATTATTTTCGAATGCATACATTTTTAAATGCTGGTAATATAGGCTACTTTTTAGGTAAATATGATTTTTTTTCATATTTTATATATAAATAAATTATGGTAGAACAATCCTTAATTTTCAAAATGATTTTATTGAATTTCATGAATTAATCTTTATAACCTGGAAGTTTCTGGATAACAACTTTTCTGATTATTAACTAAATTACAATTTTTTAAACAAAACTGAATTATCATCATTGAATTAAGTTTCATTTATATTATTGGTTTCTAAAATTTTGTTTCTTCATTGCATCTGTAAGAATAAGAAATGATCTAATTTATGGTAATAACCAAAAATAAATTTGGTTTCCAATTTAAAATAAAAACAAATAAGCAAATATGATTATAACACTTTTCTGAATATTGAGATATACGTATTAGTAATAAACAAACAAAAAAAATATATTTAAAAGTTAAATAATATACTTAGAAAGAATGGAGTAAATATCTAAAATAATATTTACTTAAATTCAAAATTCCTAGTTTTGCTAATTTTATGAAATCAATGAATCGTTTTTAATGACGGAAAATGTGTTATTTCATCTGTTCATTTTACAGTAATATTAATAGAAGCAGAGTTCAATAATTAGCAAAAATAGAAGTAAAAACTTTCAATTAAAAACATGCTAATGCATTTCTCTTGCCATCAGTGTAAAACAAGACAAAACACATTAAATTTAGTCAGTTTAACGACAGCAAAAACAAAAACTATTATATGAAAAACACTGTAAAGAAATGTAATAATTTCTAATTTTAATCAATATTATTTATCAAAAATAAGGAACAATATTAATTTTCTTTTAAACTCTTTTGATAAGATTATCTTCAAGTTTTTAATATATATGTATTTAGCAAAATTACATTATCTCAAATATTTTATTGAAATACTTCTATTTCAGGGGCATTCCAAGTATTAAAAAATTGCATATTGTGTTTGTTGTTAGATATTTATTCTTATTTGTAAAATCATTAAACAAAAATATTTTTAAGTATTATTTTTGAAAAAGTTTCATGTTAACTTTTATTACTAATTTGTTGATTTTCTTCATTTTTCTGTTAAGATTTGCTAAATTTCATCAATATTTTTTTAAATTTAAATAAAATTATAGAACGAATATTATTACTACTTAATTTCTGTGATTCTGCTTGTAGTTCTATTTCATCTTAATCTATATGATATTTTTTAATTATCTATTTATGTTCTTCGATAACACTTTTCTTGATCTCTCTCTCCATTCCCCCAGTCTCAGGGTTGACAGTATCATGATTGTTTATCAGTGGTTTTTTTCCAAGGCTGCTTAATATGTCATCAGGTTTTCATTTTTTATATTGTCCAAAAGTTTTATTCTCATCCTGCTTTTTACAGATTTTCCTTCCATTTGATCCTCCAAGAAAGTTGTATATCCATCAGAATGGAGTAGATGATCTATCATGCTATTTCCTCTCTGTTTCTATTGTATTTAGCAAATTGGATTTTTCTTTCTACCATCTTTAGAATGTCTTTGTTCTATACATTACCATTCCAAGATGTTTTCAACTTGCAATATCCAGCATCACATAGATTTTCTGTTCACAGTACTTGCTACAATCTTCCTACAGCATCACATTTTGAATACTTTGATTTTTTTCCTTTGGGCCTTCTTGAGTGTTTATGTCTCAGAAGCATAGGAATTTCTAGCTGCTACATCTTTTCCTCATTTTTTGTCAAATGTTATAATACTGTACTGCAAGGTAGCTAAACACTTTATTTGAGGAGTTCTTTTACCTTTCAACCTAATGTCAGCTTTTTGTTTATCATCTCATGTATACTTCATTATTTTGTCTTTTTTCTTGTTGTGTTTTCCATTAAAAGTTCATTTATGTTTTTTAGAGAATATTGTAGGTTCTGTTGTGAGAGCTATGTCATCTGCAAAGCAGATTGTAATAAAGAGTTTGCCATTCACTTCAAGACAAGTATGGTTTGATTCTGTAAATTGCCTCATTTCCTTGCTATATATGTTGAAGAGTATTGGTGATAAATCACATCTCTGCCTAACTTTTTTCAATAATTTTGAAGAGCTGTTTGATTTTTCTATGGCTAGTATATTATCATATAGTCTCTACAGTTATTTTTTTCAGTTCTTAAGAACTTTGAACAATGTATTCCACTCTACATTGTCAAAAGCTTTCTCAACATTACTTTTTTTGATAGATGAATAAAATTTAAGAAATATATCTTTTCTTACGTTTTATGACAAAAGCATTCATAAATTTTTTTTTCTTGTTATATGCTTGTGTCGGTTTTATGAGTGATATATTCATCATTAATAAGAAAGTAATTCATAATTATCTTTGTATCTAAGGGAAATATATAAATAATTTTTATGAAAATTAGAAAGTAATATTTTTTTTAATTTATCAGTGAATATTATTATTGTATTTTACTATTTTCTTTGATTTTTTTTTTTGTTTCTCTTTTAATAATAATAAATAAAGCCCTTCATTGCAATACTGAAAACAAGTATTCTGCACAGAATATCATGCATGTTGTTGCGTTACTTGTGACAAAGAAAAATAATTAGGATAATTTTCAATGAACATTAAGCTGCTTCTAACACTGAATAACCAATGTATTGTAACCTGTCGAAAATAAAAATGTTTCTGATATCTTACTGATAGCAATATATAAGCATGTTGGAATCTGTTCATTTTATAAACCAATGCCTTGTTTTCTCTTTTTCTTTCAATAGTCACTTTTGAAAAAAATAAGAAACTCCCCAATAAAACACCTTGAACACTTCCAGCACTGTTTTACTTGTCTGACAAACATTTCTTGGCTCACTTCATAAACCTGCACCAAGTTTACCATGAATTCAAACTTCCATCATTCTAAATTGGATGTTAACTGGTTCAATGATGTTTTTTATATAAAAATCTACAAGATGGAACAGACTACGTAACCATATATTTTCAATATTTAAAAGTTGTGAAATAATGCCTATTGTTTCATAGGATTTATACTAGTGCCTTTAAATAATATATGTAGTGGAACTCCTGTTCAGAGCCAGCACTAAAGTTTATGCCGCCTGGGGCAAGACATGCATTTGACACCCCTTATCCCCCTACATAAAATGATAAAATTTTGTTTTGAAATGCCATACTAATTAGAAGTTCCAGACCTTGCTCTGTCAATCAGTATTCAATTTGCACCATGTAATATAAATAAAAATTTTAAAAATATTTTAAAATAATATGCATGAAAATGTTGTATAAATTTATGAAAATTTGCTGCTCTGGGCCAGTTTGCCCATGCAGTAGTGCCAGCCTGTTGAGTTCTCTTCTGCAGGTTATCATAAGATGATTGCAAAGCCAATGATAAGGAAATAATTCCTCATCAAACCCTTTAACTGGTATTAAACAAGAGTAAAATTACTTGCAAACGTTTACTCTTGTTTAATACCGGTTAAAGGGTTTGATGAGGAATTATTTTCGTATTTTAATCCGGTATTTGAAGATTTTTTATCCAATGATAAGGATTCACAATCTTTGTAATTTAGGCTTTTTTTTTTTTTAAAGTGCCCTTAAATGTCTCCAAAATTTCTAGAACTTGTAGGTGCTATTTGTTGAATACTTGTCATTAATTTGGCTTCATCCAGATTTGCAACTACTAGAGCTCTGCAGCATAAGTCAATATATCAGTATCAGACCAGTATTGGTTTGATATCAGTTACATGTCTAGAAAATAAAGATAGTATTGAAACAAATATTATTCTTTACTTAAAAACAAATCATGAGTGGTTAGTAGGTGTGTAAGAGCAGAGCAAGCTTAGTAATCTAGATTTAAGAAAATAATCTGTTATTTTTGATAAATGTTATTGTTATTAGCTTATAATAGTTTATTTTAATTAATAATTATTCATATTTTAATAACTTTTATAATAAAATGATATTATTATTTATTTAGAAGATGCATTGGGAGCAGAAACATATTGGGCAAGTGGCCTTCATTTATATACACCTCTTCCCTTTTGACCTGGAAGAGACGGAATTGGAAATTATTTTCGAATGCATACATTTTTAAATGCTGGTAATATAGGCTACTTTTTAGGTAAATATGATTTTTTTTCATATTTTATATTTATTTAGAAGATGCATTAGGAGCAGAAACATATTGGGCAAGTGGCCTTCATTTATATACACCTCTTCCCTTTCGACCTGGAAGAGACGGAATTGGAAATTATTTCCGAACGCATACATTTTTAAATGCTGGTAATATAGGCTACTTTTTAGGTAAATANATGTTTTTTTTACTTAGATATTTTTTTAATTAGAGAAACTACTACTTATATGATTTTGTTATTGTTTATATTTTATATCATAGTATAATTGAAAATTATAATGGATTCCTTAACCTCCTGTTCATTTGTCAGGAAAGTCAAGCAAGAGCACTTGCCAGCTTTTATTTTTCCAGCTGTAGTGTATGCATAACAAGGAAAAAAGTATTGGAACTGTGTCAAATTTTACCCCCTTCTTTGCATATCTCTACATTTTGAGACTTCCTGAATCCAAAAAAGTAAAAAAAAAGACAAAAAGAATTTCATGGATCTATGTCCATGCTTGTGTGTTGGCATCTATTTTGCTTAATATCTCAGGATAGGGTAAAGATTAAGAAACAAAATTTGTGTAATGACTTGTATGTGAGGGGCATTGATACTATTAAATCTTGGCAGTGAAAGGTCAAGTGGTGGGGAGATAGAGAGGGTGTAAGGAACCAAGTCTGAGCTTTATTTTTATTTTACATATACTTTTTAGCCTTTTGATCCATCATGTATCCTTGTTTTGTTTTAAACTTCTTTAGATCTTCAGCGATCTTTATTCTCATTTCTTCTTTTTTGTTTTTATTAAGTCCACTTTTAGATATTGCCAATTCAATGTCCGCTATAGTATCCAATGATTTATCAAAGTATGGTAAATTCATACCATATGACACATATGGTATGAATTTACCACATAAATCCACACCATATGACAAAAATCTCATATAATCATCTGGAATACTCTTTTCAGTTAGATTTACTACTAGATTTTCTTGCCACTCTCTGTATTCCGATTCTAAAGGATAATCAAATAATTGATTATCCTTTAGAACTGAACCTTACAGAAAGAAAGATTTTTTTGGAAGAAGAAGGAGTGGTTTATAGGCTTCAATGTACGTGTGGAGTACCGCATTATTACGTTGGAGAAACGAGGCGGAAACTTAAAGTGAGGATGTCGGAACACTTGGCAGCAGTAGGAAATAAAATTAATACATCCCCGGTATTTTTGCATTGTTACGTGAACAATTGTCAACTAGATATTAATAATGTAAAAATAATACATAAAAGAGAAAAATATAGTTAAGAGAAAATTTAAAGAACATTTCGCGATAATTATGCAAAGTAATGTAATGAATTTGAATAATGGGGTGATACCAGCGGAATGCTGGGAAGAGTTTGTGTTTCTTAAAGATTGTAAACGCGATGGTATCAGTGAGAAAGATGTGTCTTCTTCTGTGTCTACGACGGAAAAAAATGTGTCGTCTGAGATACCTTCTGCTGTTCCTATTGTACACTCTAGTCATCAGAAACCCTACTGAAGAGGCCTTGACAGGCGAAATGCATTTGGGGTGAAGTATATATTTATATAAAAATAAAATTATATTTTCTTTGTTAACCTGTTTACCTTTTTTAATTTTTTATACCAGTCTACGGACTCGGGACTTATTAAGCCTCCAAAGGTCANTATATATATATAATCGTCTACTGTAATTATGAAATATGGGCATTGAAAAATGAAAATAAAGAACAAATTGTATCCTTTCTTATTTCAATAAAAAACAAGGGCAGATTAACTAAAATAAAGCATTAGCCTTTGAAATAAAAGCATGTCTGGCAACCCTAAGTATGTCCTACATTGACACCTTTACACACTTTATTTAATTTATTTTTAACCAGGTATTTAGATATTAAACATTTCATTTTCAGTTTTAAAACAGACCTTACCAACTTTTTGGGGAATTTCTCCAATTAATGTTTATAGGCTTAGCTGAGGTGCTATTTCATTTTATTGTAACTTTGGTGACTATTGCCATAATATGTTTCTACTGCAAATTTCCCTGGGAATGCTTTAATTTCCTCCAAATTGTGTTTATATGATCAGATCATATTCTGCATTCCTGCTTATATATTAGGATCACATTGTAATAAGCTTTTACATTTTTATATTAAGAATATTTTATTGTTAGATTATATATCATGTAAATATTTAAAATTGTTTCTTGTTTCATCAGACTGAATTATTTATTTTATTTATTATTTGTTTCAGTAATGCTGTAGACGATTAGTTAGTTATATAGAATACTCTTGATGAAAAATGTGCAAATTTACAATAAAGTAATATATATTATTATTTCAATAATTATTTATTTAAATAAATTGAAATGAATAACCCATAAAATAGGTATCAGAATAAGGCATAATTCAAATATAAAATGTGCAATTTTTATTTATTTAATGCATATTTTTATACTTTTTATTAGGATTATTTTATTTGTTTATCAAGTTATTAAATAAATTTAGTTTTCAATATTTTTCTTTTTTAGAATTCAAGAAGACGACCTATTAAAGGCACTTTATATGTTACTGGTGATGGTTTACGTGTAGTTGATGATGAAACCAAGGTAAATTTATAATCTATATTAATTGATTTATATATAGAATATTCTCATAAAGTAATTGATATTAAATTATGGAAAATGTATTTGTTACACTTAGATAGAACAAATTAATTGATTTTAAAACAACCTAATGATCTATAATTATAAAGTTATAAAATATTGTTATAATAAATTATATTTTCAGTGTTCACTATAAATTTTATTTTACTCAAAACATTGAATAGTTTACAATCAAGTTTATTTGCTGATCCTCATTTATCTAGTTGATAATCAAATTTTTATTTTATTATTTGTAATGTATAGATCAAATTTTTCATCATTATTTATAAAATTATTAAGTCTCCTTTCATGTTGTAGAAACTTGATTTTTTTTTAATCAAAAAGTTGATTTTAAATATCATATTATAAAAAGTCTAAGATCAGGGCTATTTTGAATATATGTGTAAAATTTCATATAAATTAATTTAGTTGTTCTTGCATAATATGTGGCCAGACAGACATGTTAATTTGATTTTATACACTAAATATAGATAATTTAGTGAATATAATAATTTATATTTTATAATAGAATTATCATAATGTATTGTTTGTTTATATGACTATGCAACTGATAAATAAACACTGAAACTACAAAGAGAATCAAATTGTAAGATTATTAAAATATCATGTAGTGGAGAAACTATTTGATATTGAAATACAGTCGACCCCCTATAATGTGGTAGATGCGTTCCACTTTATAAGAATTTCACATTGTAGGAATCCTTAAATACATGAGCCAATTACAGCCCGGCACGTGTGCAGTTTACGGACTACGGCCGTTTGAAAGGTTTTCTTCCATAAAATTAATCAATTCTAGACTAATTTGACTCAACATTTCCAAAACATGTATAATTTTTGTGAATAATCCATATAAACTATGCTATAAACAAAAAATTGTAGGATTACTTACCAAGTGTGCACCGTTCGACAACACCATTGCTTAAGCTTATTTTCGTCGCGGAGCAGTGCATCGAACGTTGGGCGCATTTTTTGATAAGTTATTTTTCTGTGAAAAAATTCGTTGAACTTTGGAGACATCATTAATAGAAATAATTTTTATGGTTGTTGAATAAGAAATGTTTTTTTCACAAGAAATGTATAAAATTACAGTACTGTATTAGACTTACAGTACCTAATTTATATACTGTACAGACGATAGTAAACTCAACTTACCCGCCTAAACTCTCCATAGCATGTAAATAGTTTGCTCGTCCATTATTGCTCCAGATTCAACCAATCCTGTTGTGACATGAGTCGGTGATGATGTTTTATCGCATTTTACGAGTATCTTTTAGTGTCTTTATACGAATATGGTCGTAATTTTTTCGCCGCACTATACAAATCTGCATTATATGAACCCGCGTTATAGGGGTCAACTGTAATAAATGTTTATTACTATGTTATGAAATTTAAATATATATAACTTACATAATAAAGAAATGACACAGTAATTTCTTATCTTAGTAAAGACATAATTTGATTTTTGTTTTATTTAGACATTATCAATAAATGAAATACTATAAATTGAAACTCTGGCAGAAGTTTTTTCAATATAAAATTTTTATTTAATTGTATTTTATCGTTTTTAATAATATATCATGCTTTACTTTATATATTTCATTAGTTAACAGCAGTTTATTAATGTAATAAAGAAGTAACAATTTTAAAATTAGTTTTGAATCATTAATTTTTCAATTCACTAAGTATATAATATTTTTAAAAATACAATATATTTTGTATAAAAATTTAGATGAAAATAATAAATTGTTATTACTTGCCAAACTTGATATAGATTTAAAAATTAAGTTCAGCACAATTTTATTAGTATTGTTATATTTTACATTTAATAATTTTAATCAAAATTATAATTAATAAATATTATTTTTTATAGGGATTAATTGTTGATCAAACTATTGAAAAAGTTTCATTTTGTGCACCTGATCGAAATCACGAAAGGGGATTTTCATATATATGTAGAGATGGAACAACACGTAGGTGGATGTGTCATGGATTTTTAGCTTTGAAAGATTCAGTAAGTTAATAAAGCTTCTCTTATTTCTAAGTATTGTGGTTGCTGTTTGATATAATTATAAATAATGTAAACAGAAAAATTAAATCTTGACTAATCCTATACAAAAAGTAATAGTCACTTGCTGCTTGCAAAGTATTCCTGGATTAGGTGATTTATCATAAATTATGCATTTTGTAATGATAACTACAGGTTGGACCTGCCTTATAATTGACAGTAGTTTGGCCAAATTTCAAATCAACATATGATATTCTTTACATCTTTAGTTCCATATTAATAGTTAATCTCATCACTTTAAAAGCATTTTGATGAACTAATTCAAATTGGATCAAAATAACTGATTTGGTTCTGCTTTTAACAAATTCTTATCTCACTGATTCAGTTTCAGTTCCAATTCAGTAAAAATGATGCAGATTCTACATTATTAACAAAGTTCCAAGGATTAATTTGTTGATTAAATCAATATGATTCTGTATAGACCCAAATTATTTGTATGGTCATAATATTGATTTAATGATGCAGGTTCATTCCTGTTGTTGTTCCAGTATGGGTTTAGCTCAAATCTCTGGATGAATCTCTTTTAAAAATATTAACATATTAAATATTTTTTGACTTGTTGAGACTTTTTCAATGTGTTTTATGTGTGAACTTAAACAATCTATAAAGTTGGCAGACTTTTTAAGTACAAATGTTCAATTAAAAATCATTACAATAAATAATAGGATTAGCAATTTAAAATTTAGTTTCAAATGAAGTTTATCTTTTCTTATATCCATTCAAAAGCATTTTAGTTACTCTGTATGATATGTTTAGATTATTAAACTATTTTTCTTTCTAACTCCATTGTATAGCTGACAATGAATTGACAAATGCAAACATATTTCTTTAGTTAATGAAATTCTATAAATTATGTTTATATTATTTTATTCTGTTAAATGGAATTGTTGTTCATAAGTAAAGAAGAGCAATCGAGAAAACTTTTTAAAAATTTTGCTATATTCTATACTATACACAAACTTTTTACATTATATAAGTCAGGGATGTATAACCTGCAGCCCATGTTGCATAAAATATGAATAAATATATCAATTTCTTAGCTTAAGGAAGTATGCAGCAAAAATTCAAACATTATTTTCTGCAACTTATGTACGTGAATAGTTTTTCTGCAATGAATTTAGTAAAAATTAAAACAAGAAACTGGCTAACAGACTGTTATATCTGTAGAGTAAACGACTATCTTGTTAAATATATTGTATTTACTTACATATAAGACGACTTTGCATATAGGACGAGGTGTGACTGTAATAGACCCAAATTATTTGTATCTTTTATTATTTGTATTTGTAGAATAAAGAAAATTAGATTTATTAATATAATTCTAATTTTATTTTGTTTAATCGCAAGTAAAATATCAAATGCACATAAATTCACACATTGTCCTGCAAAAATTACTGGCATTTTAAACTTCAAGGAAAAATCTTGTAAAATCGACAACATAATTCTTTTCACATAAAGCTGGACAATCAGGAACCTTTTTTGCCAAGTCTTAACAGTCGAATCCACTCTCTTATGAGTTTCTCCAAATTCTAATTTCCAAATAATCATCTATTTCCATGTGGAAATGGATAAAACTTATATCCAGCTCCCATGTGATTTTGGAATTCAATTTAAAAGCTTTATTTTCCCTATTGCTATTCATCATTACTTCTGACAATACCCAGATAAAATATGTGTTATTAAATACAAGAGGGTAAACATCCAGTAAAAAACGCAAATACACGGTTCACACAAATTATTGCAAAAATGCAAAGAATCTTTTGCTCGCGCATATAGGACGACCTAAGTTTTTGAAGCAGTGAAAAATGAATAAAAACCTTGTCTTATATGCAAGTGAATATGGTATATAACTAAAACTTTATTATTATACAAAACATAACATTGTGCATACAGATCTAAACCTAGTCACAGCTAGTGCACGACTCAGGCTACAGACAAAGAGGACAACAAACGTCAAAAGTATGGGCTGCCTGACCAGGCAAAGGGGCAACTTGGTGCAGGCTACTGCCTGGCAGCCAACATACACATGTCACAGACTCCCTTCAAAACTAATTTAAAACTAGCAATGACTGATACTTAACCAAATATTTCTGATATATTACATTCACATCAGTTCAAGAAGCTAAATTAAGTATACTTATGCTAATTTATAATTATACATGAATAAATAATTGTGATTTACTGGCATTTTTTCTCTTTTCTATTTATGTGGCCTGCATCAGTTTGAAAGTTTTGAAATGCAGCCCCTACATAGAAAAAGGTTGCCCATCCTTGATATAAGTGATCATGATTTAAAAATAATCAATGTTTACAGAAAAATAATGTGTTTGAATTCCTATGGCAGAATTATATTATGCAATTAGTTTATAATATAGGCGATTATGGCATGAATGGAAGTTTGGCACATGAGCAGAGCGAGTAGACCAATTTCCATAAATGCCATAATTGCTAATTATAAATGAATTGTCATACGGTATTTTATGGTTAGACTACACCTATAACACTACTTATGGAAATCAAAATCATGTATAAACACTGTGTTTGTATTTGTATGTCATTAAGCCATGCCATAAAATTTTTATGGCATGGGTGCCACACTGTGTTTATACATGATTTTGATTTCCATAACTATAGTGTTATAGGCATAGTTAATGTTTAAATTTAAATGTATGGTTCGAATTCTCTATTCGATTTTGAATTACCTGAAGACAACGTGCATATTTACGTCGAAAGCGCTCGTAAGAATAAAATATTTTAAATTATATTTAACGCCTCATAGTCTGAAGTTTTGGAAGAAGTTTTGATTGAGATAACTATTGGCGTGACATCCAACCCCAGTACTTGATATAGGCATAGTCAAGCACAAAAATATTTAACATGATGAACATAAATTTTATTTATAAGTTTTGAATGAAATTGAGCATACACATTTACTATCTGGAGCTCAACATGTTAGCACATTGGATTTATTGAGAAACATTGAAAGAACGTTTAGACAATCTCATCAGAAGTAATCTAATCTACTTGCCTTTAATCGTTCTTTACACTGAGATTCATTTGAATTGATGGAGATTCTTTTAGCTAGTAGAAGAATCATCATCAACAATTGAAATCAATTCACTATTATACATTTGTAACAAGCAACAGACATTAAAGATTTGTGTCTTCTTAAATCTTTTCCAACCACAGGAATACAATTGGAAGAGTCAACTTTATTTTGAGGATCTTTCCTGCCCACAATTAATACAAGTTGTTATTAAAAAAGTCTTTCCTGAATCAGATTCTTGTAAAAACATTTTTACAAGGATCTCATTTCAGTCATTTTTTTATGCATTTTAAAATTAAAGTTTCTCTTTGATAACTGATCTCATTTAACAATGTTTAGATATTGAAAATAAGAAGAAAATTCAAAAAGTTATGAATTACTTAATGTTTTAAAATTAATGATGATAAATTGACAAGGGGAGCACTTCATTATTTGCACAAGGCACTGTTTCAAAGTATCATAAGATAGTTCTTTATTAAGTTTATGATTATCTGGAGAGATGATCTCCTTTCTTCACTGCTTTTTGATACTTTTTCCCTTTTTTTTGCACTTAGAAATAAATTGAGTGTTTTGTGCATTTTTCTATTTATAAATCTGTTATTAATTAAAATTTAATAATTTTTTCTATTAAATTTAAATGTTTAAATACCCTCTTCTAATGTAAAATAGTGGTGTTTGGTATTATTGAATAATCAACTATTGACAAGATATTTTCCAGTATCAAAGTCAGACAACTGGATACCGATTAATATTGTCATCGATGTTCAATATTGCCAATATCTCAAATTAATATTGAAATTTAGAAAGTTAATTAATTTAACGGCACGTTGCTAATGTACTTTTGAAATTGCTAATGAATTTCATTTTTAATTTAAATTTTAAGTTTGATTCCAGTATCAACTGTTAAACAATTGCTAATGCTTGGATTTGCACCCATTTAATATATGTATTTAGCAAAATTACATTATCTCAAATAAGCAAATTTGCAAATTAATCCTTCCTAAAATTTTTAAATTTCTTTCTGTGATTGGTAAGAAAAAAAAGTTTTGACCAATGGTGATTTTAAAAACAGCATAAGTAGTAGGCGGTTTCCATTTGTTATCTCTACTTTCCAACAAAGTTTTGCACTTTTTTTTTTATTAAATTGTAAGTATATATATATATTATTTACTGTATTGGTCCTAATACTGTATTAGTCAATGTTTCTTCATAGTTTTTTTAAAATCTTGCATTAATAAACTTTTTAGTTTAGGTCTTAGAAACAGAAAAACAACTTTAGAATAAATTACTTTATTATATTGAAATAGTCATTATTGATGTAGAATTATATTATATAATTATTTCATGACTTCAAATATCACTAATATAAAATAATAAGGATTATTCCATAGTTAATGTGGGAGAGGGATGTTATGACTGGTTGTGATACAAAAGTTTATTGATATCTTTAGTTTTGATTTTGATTTTTAAAAATTCCAGAGGAGTTAGTAAATAAGTTTAAAGATGAATGAATTATGACTGGCAATAGTATTTTGAGATATGAACTATGATAGAGTTGTATTAAAAGCATCTCTCATCACTGGTTAAGCAGCACATCAAATATGAAAAACGTGTTTCCAACAGGGAAAGATAGAAGAATGTGAAGAAGGAACAGAGTTTTATTTTGGCATCATTAAATTTTTTGCAAAGGACAATGCAAGCAAGTAGAATGTAAACTAGCTACAGCTTTATCATGGTTAGGAATTGCTCTTAAAATAAATCACCCAGCATTCAGAAACTTTCTAGAATGTATACAATGCTCTCAATTCCTGACCAAAGATGCAAAGGAAAGTTGCTTCATGTGCAACCTGCTGCATATGAAACAGCTTTTTAAATAAATACAGGAAATAAAAAAAACTGTTGTTTCCTACTATTTTGAATAAAACAAAAGATATGCTAAAAAGGTACATGCTGAACATTCTTATTGGTCCATTAACAGGAGCCAGTTTGTGGAATTTCTCTTCTTTAATTCGTAAATATTAATGCAGGTCTTCAATAATGCATGTATCAAATTCTGAAACTGCCATTCAATATGAAAAGATTTGGTTACTTGTAACAGACCAGGCACCAAACTTGCTAAGTACATGCAGTTGATATGTTCAAATCTGAGATACATTTAGCAATCAGGACAGAATATTTTTGGCCCAATGATTTCATTTCAGAAATGATTATCACTCTTCATATAGATCTACATTTGCAGCACAACTGCTCTGCCATTCCCAAAACACTCTGAAATAAAAACAAGCAACTTGAATCCACACCTGATAGTCAAAAATTTCTCTTTTATGAGAGCATTCCTTGATAAACTGGATGAAAAGTCTGAGTCTGTTGAAACAACAAGCCCACATTAAAGGAACTCTATATTGTTCATTCCTGTGCAGTTCAGTTTCTAAGCTTGAGGAAAGCACACTGCTGAGATGCAGCGGGAGATTTTTAAACACTTTTGGTGGGTTAGATGGATTTGCTTTAGAGAAACTAATACTTCCTGTCAAAAGTCCAGTCATTCAAATATGATTCTCAAGTCTTTTCAATCACAAAACTTGGATTTTTTAATGAAAACCAAATAAGCTCCTCTTACATCTATTGATCTTGAGAAATTTATTTTCACTGTGCTATCTGCAGCTGACCAATGGAGAATGTAGAACAGTTGATTGCACGCAAGTACAATGCCTTTGTTTGTAAATTATGAAACAGATCAGATTTCAAAAGTAACTGATTCAAATTCTCTCTATCAATTTCTCAAGTCTTGTGTGTTCTATGTAACTTTTATGCATAATAAAATGATAGTTTTATACTTTTTTAGGAGCACTTTTTTAGTCCTCCTTTTTAAATAAAATTTGCACCTCAACTTTCCAAGTTTAACCATCATTACCATTTTAAGTTGTAAATATAAATATTGATGAAGGCTATGTAGTTTGCAGTTAAGCAATTAATATGAAGAGTACAAATAATAAGTAAAATATATAATAGAATCAAGTACTTCCATTACTAATGAGCTGTTTTCAGATTAGTATTAAGGCTTAAAACCTTTCTAAATTAAATTCAATTGTTATAAATTAAAAATTAACATGTTTCTATGCTTTTCAACTCAGTTTAAGTACTTTAAACTATGTTATTTCCTACTTTGAAGTGAAGATAGAATTTTAGTAAAATTTCTTATCTCTTAAATTGTGTAGTCTGACAGCACTTTCTATTGCAATGTTCATGGAAACATTCTCAGAAATAAAATTATATAGTCTAATATTGTACATAGGAAAGTCACAATTGAGTTTGTAAGTGAAGAGCTCATTAGTCAATTAGGAGAACTTAAATTGGAGACGAGTTTGAACCAGATGTTGGTAGCAAAATCCTGATTCTGACATCAAAATGGATACAAATGATAATGTAACAACCAAATCAGAAGACACTGAATTGGGTTTACTATAAAAACAGCAATTATTTCAAATGTTATATAGCTGTAACCCATAAATACAGTCAATAATTGTTTTAGGAAGTTTAAAAACGTGCAAGTAATTAACGTTTGTTATCAATTTTTACTTAATTATCTCCTGTTGCAAGGTAATAAACCATGGGAATACATACATTTTAAAAATAAACCATTAGGTTTTAATTGTGGAAATATATATATATACTAGCTGTTACCCGCGACTTTGTACGCGAAGGTTTTGCAAGCAAACCCCATTTACATTCAATATTTCAATAACCATAGTAATTGTTATATAACACCTACCGCTGAAGAGAATTGCAGAGAATCAAACGAACTATTTTCAATTTGATCAATTTTCTGGAACGTTTACAATCGTTCTATAATAGAACCAATATGCAATAACAAATTTGAATTTAAAACGGTTTGAACATTTTTAAAATCGAAATGGATAAAAATATTTATAACAATGTCTGAAATGTTATTAATTTAATACACCTAAGTACTCGATGAAAACTATATTCTCTCCCTCACCCCCCGCGGGGAAATTTCTAAAAATCCCTTNAATATAGATCAATTAAATATACAGATTTTACATAAAGAAAAACGAATTTATGACAGAAAATTTAAAGAAAGTGTGGAAATATCAAGAAATAAACATCAAGGTTGTATAAACAAAAACCTAAGCGTTAAAATTAATGAAAATTGGTTGAAAAGATTATAAATAAAATGTATTAGATTAATAGAATGGTATAAAAATAATTAATTAATTTCAATCAAATAATATTCAAAAAACTTTTTAGTACAAAAAAAGTGCTGTATTGATGTCATATGTAAATTTGATAAACGGACGATAGTTTGGAAAATACGCAGGATAAAATTTAAACGATAATGGTGCTTTACAATATTAAAAAATAGTTTTCATATTTTCCTCCAAGCTTACAAATGTTTATTGATTGACCTGTTAGCTCATTAAATCACGGAACATCGTAATATATGCAAATCGTCTAACTAGTTGATGGTGTGACAGGAAAGGCTTATGAGATACGCTTGAAAGAACGGATAAGAATGGTACCCACTTTATGTAATGTTAAAATTTGTAATTTTTAGATTTTAAATCTGTAAAGTTTATCAATTATTTTGCCCGCGTGGTAAAAATTAAGATAACAAATTATGTTATTGTAAAAATAAAAAGACGGCATTTATGGTAGAAACGTTATGTAAACCTATGGGTCGTCTGGTGTTCTGCTGTATATTTGGTGTCTGTATCGAAGTGAGGTATGTTTCACAAAAAATTTTTTGTACGTTTTTTTAGTTTTTATTTGTGTTCGGTTGTATCCATATAATATTTTATATCTATTCAGTTGGCTGAGGAGGGGCAAATGCCCGAAACGTAAATGTATAGCAAAGCGTTCTAACTGAATAAAGATTGAAACTTGCCTAGTGTTGAAGAAAAGTCACTTCATTGTGCCAGTATACAATTTTAATGTAATTTAAAATGTTGTTATAAATTACATTTGTCCCTCTATAGTCCGACGTTTTTTAATCCGACATGCTCAGTAGTCTGACGCACCTCCCGTCAAGGTACCCGTCCCCGTTACGTGTCTGCTTACACAGAAGCATGNACTCGGTAAGTAATCCTACAATTTTTTGTTTATAGCATAGTTTATACGGATTATTCCCAAAAAATTATACGTGTTTTGGAAATGTTGAGTCAAATTAGTCTAGAATTGATTAATTTTATGGAAGAAAACCTTTCAAACAGCCGTAGTCCGTAAACTTCACACAAGTCGAGCTGTGATTGGCTCATGTATTTAAGGATTCCTACAACGTGGAACGTATCTATGCGTTATAGGGGGGGTCTACTGTATATGTCTCTTTAAACCGAATTAGTAAAAACGGTAGACTTTCTCTCAGCTCTAAGGTTAGGTACTCCTTTATTGCAAATCACAAATGCATTTCGGGGATATATGAGCCCCTCTTCAGTGTAAATGCTACCCATATAAAGCATAAAAAGCAAAAAATTAATTAATTTACAAATTTTTCACACGCAGATGATTTTTACAGACAATAAATAAATCCTTTTTACATACCTCAGAAGACAGAAGGCTTTTCTAACTGTATGACTCTCACAATGATATTTTATATAATCCAAAAAAACACATGAATGTGTATTGAATGACACTTACACAGGTACTGTACAATTGTGTTTTTTTGGATTATATAAAATATCATTGTGAGTCATACAGTTAGAAAAGCCTTCTGTCTTCTGAGGTATGTAAAAAGAATTTATTTATTGTCTGTAAAAATCATCTGCGCGTGAAAAATTTGTAAATTAATTAATTTTTTGCTTTTTATGCTTTATATGGGTAGCGTTTACACTGAAGAGGGGCTCATATACAAGGTCTGTTCAAAAAGTATCGGACCTTTTTTTTTCCACGTCAACCAATGATGCACGACAGGCCTCCTTCGGTGGAGTTGTGGAGGGAACAGTCATACACAGCCCTGAATTTTTTCCCGCCTGCAGGAAGCGTCAGTCGTTGGCAATCGGCCTATGAGTGAGGTCATGTAGTGCGCTCTCGTCGGATTCCACTAAGCTGGAAAATGACGTAATATCGCTGCTCACGTTGTTCAATCAAATTTTGCCAAAAACCTTGGCGATACCCGAGCGTAAACCACTCGCAAGATTCAGCAGGCTTTCGGGGACGATCCTCGAAGCCAAAAAAAGCGCGGCAGGTCCGCAGCAATGTCAAAGGTCATGTTGACAGTTTTTTCGACTTTCGTGGGGTGGTGTGTCGTGAGTACGCACCACAAGGCCAAACCATCGCAAAGGAGTACTACCAGGAAGTCCTTCGTCGTCTTTCCGATGCTGTGCGACGCAAAACAACCGGATCTGTGGTCGATCAAAACTTGGCACTTCATCGTGATAACGCATCCGCCCATTCTGCGCATTGGATTCGGGCTTTCGTCGCCAAACATAACACTCCTGTGGTTCGTCACACTTCGTACTCTCCCCACATGGCTCCGTGTGACCTTTGGCTATTTCCCAAGCTGAAAATGCCGCTAAAAGGAACCCGAATTTAGTCGAGAGAAGACATCGTGCAAAATCCGACGGAGCGGCTGATGGCCATTCCAAAAGATGCGTTCCAGCAGTGTTTCCAGCAATGGCAGGAACGCTGGGAGAAGTGTATACATTACCAAGATAGACTACTTTGAAGGGGATTAGGGTTTTGTACCTCAAAGTCAATAAATTTATTTTTACCGACCAAAGGTCCGATACTTTTTGAACAGACCTTGTATATCCGAAATGCATTTGTGACTTGCAATAAAGGAGTACCTAACCTTAGAGCTGAGAGAAAGTCTACCGTTTTTAGTAATTCGGATTAAAGAGACATATACTAAATCTACGTATTCATCAGCTACCACACTGGATATTAATAAATCTAATTTTCTTTATTTTAATCTTTAAAGTCACTCCTTGTCCTATATGCAAGATTGTCTTATATACGAGTAAATATGGTATATCTTTATAAAAATAGTAATAGTATATTAAGTCTATTGCATTCCTCCATTTTATGTGTAACAAACATACAAAAAAAAAACTATGAAAAATTAAAAAGCTTAATACAGTAGAGCATTGATTATCTGAATGTCGATCAACTGAAACGTGAATTAACCGAAAGCTCTTCAGTCAGAAAATTTAAATTTCTGCTAGTGCTGCAATCTTTGGCTATGTCTTGGGCTACTCCAATATTATTATTGGAATATTTCAATATTATTTTTGTTGATGTGTGTGTTTTAGCTGGCAGCACTGGCACGACCATGAGAGGGTACTTAAGGACGTTCCAGGATTTTAACAAATTTCAACATGAGATAGGTTAATATATTTTTTTCCTACATAATCGGTTATCGGAAAATCAATTTTCCGAACAACCCCAGTCCCCAACTGATTCGGATAATTGATGCTCTACTGTACTTTCTTAATCTATTGAAACAGAGCTTTCAGAACAACTTCAACTTAATATAAATATTACATATACTCAGGTCTTTTGTACAAAATTAATTTTTCCTAACTTACTTTAAAGTAGCTAATTTACAAAATAACACAACAATCATCGTAAACTGGTGTTGGTGGCTGTGGCATCAAATGTGCTGGTGGATCTGCATAGTAACCATCCAAATATAATCTAAAAACATAAATCCAATGTTCATTGATCTCTGAACGATTATATGTATAAGTGGTTTCAATTCCATGCCTGGCTTCTTTGCCTGTTCTTAATCTCATTGCGGCAGTTTCTGCACTCAATACACGAGCCCCTAAATAAAAACTTTAATTAGTTATTAAAACTTTCAAGTTTAGACACATTACAAAAAGGTATACAAATATTACCTGTTAATACGACCCATCTCGTCAATCTTTCTTTTACCGTTCTCATATCTTCATATTCTTCAGAAAATGCAGCATGAGCTACTTGATAAGGAATAATAGTTTTGCAATTTAAATGAAGAGGAGGTGGAAGTGCATTTATCTCAGAACATTTTGTATAGGTCACTCGTAATATTCTCACATAGTAGGTACTTCTACTTCCATGTTCTGTATAACTCATTCGTTGTGTATCTATAAGACTACCTACAATAGTTTTAAACAAGTTTAAAAATCACATTCAAAAAACTCAATTGCATTCATGTATCTATATATAAAAATTAAAATATTCTAACCATCTATCCAGGTCTTTACTTTATACACACTTAAGTACAGATAAGGAGATATGCATACAAGAAATTTTTATGCAGATAATGCATATTGATGTACACCTTGCCATAGATTGCTAGAACACCATCATATAACTCATCTCTAAAGTGAAAACATGACATGAATAGTATGCGCTATAAGCTATACTGTCTAGATAATATTAAAAACATAAGATTTTAAAATTTCCTAGGAAATTCCATAGGAATTTTTACATCTTATGTTCTAATTCAGGAATTCCTGGATGAATAGTAATAAATTTATAAATTATTCACTAGCCATATAATATCTGACTCAATTTTTTCCTTTTATCTATTTTTTCAATAGTAAAATAACAATAATAATAATGTCTAAAAACAAACATCTTCAATGTAAGAAAGCTGTTGTAAGCAGTCTACAATTTACGTGATTTTGTTGTAACTGCCATATTAATCTATCAATGTCGCATTCATTCTCACCTTCTATTGGCTATCAATTTTCATTTTTGAATACAACAACACAAAATAATCATTTTAAATTTTGATTTTCTGGAACTATATTAGGGTAACAAAATTCTTATGTTTCAGTAATACTTTTCTGCAAGTGGAACTGTGGCTTTAATTTGGTGTAAATAATTAGTATATGTTAAAATCAATAATCAGTTTCAAAATAATTTTATAAGATTATGTAGAGAAAGAATTACCCGATCCATACAAAATGAATTCTTCTTGCAATACACATTTTAACAATGGCAAAAATTATGCAAATTTCAGAATCTGTATAACTACATTTGATATAAACTTGAACCAAAGAAATATATTTAATGAAGACATTAAATTCTTTTATACACAATTTATTTAACAAAAANAGTATGCAGTTTATTTAGTAGCTGGTGGCTGTACTACAGTTATAGGCTTTCTTGCAGGTTGCCACATACTTTCCATATACCCATTTGTTAGTTGTGGAGACGGAATTCTTTCTGAAACAAAATAATATGGTGCAGTATTAGGAGGAATCAATGATATACTTGATTAGCAGAACTAACAGGAACTGGTGGTTGTGGAGACTGAAATCTTTCTGAAACAAAATAATATTGTGCAGTATTAAGAGGAATCGAAGATGTATCTAGATTAGCAGAACTAACAGGAACTGATGATGATGTAGTGAAAACACGATCCGGTGACAAGAATGTAGGCCTATATGGAACAGTTTGCGTTTCCTGAAGATAAACAACTGGCCGTACCTGAGAGAGAGTAGTTTGTTCTGTATATGAAATTGGTGGTGTAATAGCAACAGGTCGAGTATACTCATTATTCGATACATATGAAATGTCCTGAGGACAAGGTTTTTTGTCTTTTTCACTATTCTTTACTACAATAATCCGTTTTGTTGGTTGATTACTTGTTACTCTAGGCCTAGCATTTACCGGTTGCATATAATTTNTGATTTAGGCAAAGCATAACAAGCCAATAGAGAGGTTGCGGCCGACATTCAAACGTTACTTCTAAACGGCAAGCAGAAGTACACGGTTTACGTTTTAACTGCAAGAAAAAATCGTTGCGGCGAATGTTCACAACATCATGTGACTCAATGCATGTCGTGCATTGACTCACGGGAAATTTGTTGAAAAAATGGCAAACGAATTTGAAAACGAATGTCCTGAGCGAAGGTAAATAAACAAATTAAGCTATTTTAAATTATTTTTGGAATGTTATAACACTAAATAATTATTTTTTTTACTATAATTAGCATCGTGTTTCCTTGCAATAGGAAAGTTCCAATGCATTTTTCCTGTAATCATGATATACTCCTGTTGAGAGAAATAGTTGCTGTAAATCCGTTTGCATATGAAAATCCGAAAGTCGCTTGGAAAAGTATATCTGGAAATTTACGGACATATTACACTGTCGATGGTAGAAGATGCCGGGAAAGAACAACTTTACTTCTACAGTATTATGACAAGGTACATGAATGCCATCTTACCTCCCAGATATACAGTCTGTTACAAAAGTGTAAGAACACCACAAATTTTGTGATTTTTCAAAATTTATTTAAATTTTTTATTAGAAAACAGTTTTATATGTTTTAAGACCATTACAAAAATATCATTTTAAGCTTTTTTTCTTTTAATAATAATATAAGTTATCACTTTTTACCTGTTACCAAAGTATAGGTACACTTTCTAAAATTATATAAAAATAAATTTTAAATATATTTTAAACACTTTTAATATTTGGTTTCGCCCCCTTTGGCTACAATTACTTGAAAAATTCTGTTAGCATAGAGTTTGTTACTTTTTTAATTGTTCATTCTTAATTGATTTACAGATACACATTGTTTCCCGTTTTGATAAACAATGGCTGCTAAAATCCCCCATAAATTTTCAATGGGATCTAAATCTGGACAACATGAAGGCCAGTTAATATTACATCAATATTTTCTTTTTTAAACAAATTTTTTGTTGACATTGAGACATGAATGGTAGCATTATCTTGTTGAAACTACCATTTATGTCCTCCAATTAATGCACCAAATGTAATAATATTTTTGTCAGCAAATACTAAATTAGTTTTTCCTTCCCATTTACCTCCAAAACTACCCCAAATCATTATAGACCCATGGCATATTGTAACTCTGCTTTCTCTTCTTAAATCATGCCAATAATATGAAACCCCTTCAGGGCCATATAAATTAAACTTCTCATCACTAAACATTATTTCTTTCCATTCTTCAGTCCATCCCATCTTGTCTTTAGCCCAATTTAAATTCCATGATATATGTGTATGGCAGTAAAATATTTAAAAATTTCATTTTTAAATATTTTACATTGTCATAGTTTTTTAAAGTTCTGCAAAGAGTTGCATGAGATACATCTATTGGTATTTCAGCAGCAGCTTGCCTTCTTAACATCTTTTTTTATTTATAAGGTTCAAAACTTCTCTCTCATTCCTGGATGTTAAACATGATATATGTTGAATACATAAAAAAATGGATATTTGTGGAAAAAAATGTATGCTGCTTTACGAAATGTAAAAAAACCTGATAATTATTTTTTATAATTATTTTAATATTTCCAGTAATAGTTTCAAAATAAATTAAAAAAAAAAAATTTATGGTGTTCTTATACTTCGGTTACAGACTGCAGAACCAACCCTATTTTTAGAAGTATAAAATAGAGAGATTGCGGTACACGTATCAGCGCAAAACGTATATGGCGGACGGTCCATGCGCCGCCATCTGGCAATTCTAGGCTGTCGATAACGGCGTTCGCTTCGTGTAGAATGGCGAGTAGAAGATCGGTTAAACTTCTTCATTTTTTTCTGTTTGGGGTTAAAATTATGACCTATTTTATTAAGATAACAATTATTTAAACATTTACGAATAACATTGTGAAGAAACAGACGATTTTAATCCAGAAATTTTTTAATTATTCAATTTTTTAGCAAGTGATGTAAAGTGTTGATAACATTTTTATAGCTGTGTTCATAAAATAGCTTATCATATTTTTCTTTTCAGAATGATCAAGCTAGTTTGCGAAGATCTGGAACAGAAGAGGAATTTACAGAACGTAATCAACTTCTACAAGAAATAAAAGTTAAAATATGAAGCCCAGATAACATCTGAGAAATCACAACCACAAGCCATTGCTGGGCAGCGAGTCAGGGATGCAGCGATGACATCTTTAAGAGCATCATCTCCCGAGTTTCCATCTGGTAAATATAAAAACTCTTTGTGATATAATTATTACAAGAATTATGTAATAATTATACATTTTTAATTATTTTTAGATGAAGATACAATTGTCACAAAAAAGAAAAAAAAAAGGAAAACCTTGTTGTCTCATAGTTACAAAACAAGCAAGAGCAACAGAATCATTTGAAACAAGAAGAATTAAATTTAAAAAAAGAACAACTGAAACTGGAACAAGAAAAATTCGAGTTTGAAAAAGAAAAATTTGGTTTAGAGAGAAGAGAGAGAGAAGCAAAATTGAGCAGGATGGCGAGGAAAGAAGATTGTTTTTAGAATTACTTATGAAAACTTTGAATAAAAAATGTTTATAAAAAATTTTTGTAAAATTGAAAAAAATTATTTATTTATTTATTATTTATTGATTACATTCTAAGTATTTGTCCAATTTGGGGGGTAAACAATTAAAATAATCTGATGTTGCACTACCATATAAGCAAGTGTGACAATTTGTAAGTAGTGCACCAACAATATACAGTTTACCGACAGGCTGAAGAAACAATTTCAAATTTTTTTTAAAATCTAGAAAAGCAAATATTTGAATTATTTTCCCAAATACCCATTCCACACACTCTCTTACTGAACTCATCCTAGAATTAAATACTTGTTGCTCGGGTGTTAAGGTAGCACCTCGGAATGGTGTAATGAGGTGTTGACGCAAAGGATAACCAGAATCTCCATATAAAACAAATTGTGTTCCGTTCTCAGAACAAAGAATCGCAGCCAACTACTCTAACAAATTAGATTCTCTTAACATTCCACTGTCATGACGTCTTCCTTCTAATGGTCCAAATAAATTAGCAATCATACCATCGGGTGTAACCACTGATTGAAATTTCAAACAATGTATACGTTTATGGCCACTGAATACCACCCTTTGATGTGTTATTGGTCGACAAATAGGAAGTGCCGTTCCATCTATAAACCCCCAACAATTTGTCAATGGTGCATCTTTTGCTGCTATCGCTTGGCTGAAGAATTTTAATTTTTCTCTTGTTAGTTTTATTTTGTCGATATTCATATATCTAAGACTGGTGCCTTTGTCTTTTGTAAATAATGTATATAGATTGTTCTATTTTAATACTTTGTAACAGCAAAGAACGTGCTGCCGTGATCTTAAATCCTACATCCCCTTTATTCACAACTGAATGTAACATCTGATTGTTGAGACTAGTTTCACGTCATTTTCGTACTGTAACTCCAAGTCATATCCTCCTGTTGCACCGTTTGCAGTTTCCTTATGTAACACCCTCAGTACNCAAAAATATAGACTATCTTTTAAATGAAGTGCCTTCAATTTTTTAAGTAAATTTACGCTAATGCTGAAAGTATCTAATGCAGCTGCGTTGCTAAAAGACTCGCTTTAAATTAGCCGCTGTAGTGCTAAACATGTAACTCCCACTTTCATCCCCTTTCCTATCTCACTTTACTTTTCCCCTTCGTCTCTTCCCTTAATTAATCCTTTCCCTCTCAATCCATTTCAAACCAGGCAATACCTACGAGTGGCCCTGGTCTTCATCCCCTTTAAGCTAGTATGTCTAGTATGTAGTGCTAAAGCAGAGATTTTGAAATGTAAAGTATATGCATTGTCGAATAGCATGTTTATGCCTCTATGTGTTTATTGTCAAGTAAACTAACTTACGTACAAAAGTTGATTTGTGTAAATTGCCATACTTGTTATGTCTCTGAATAGAGAAAACAAAATTTTTAAAACTAATTGTAAATGGAAGGACGAAAATATTTAGTAATTAAGCTTAGAGAAAACTTCATGGATCAATCTATGTTGTAGATTGCAGAAACATATTTTACTTAATTTAAATGAAAAATAAAAAGGTTGTTTGACGCAAAAACGGAGAGAAAGAGAGAGAGAGGGAGAGAGGGGAGAAAAAGAGAAAATGGAGAAGAGAGAGAGGCGAGAGAGGAAAACAGAGGAAAGAGAGAAGAAAGAGAAGAAAGAGGAAAAGAGGGAAGAGAGAGTTGTAATACAATAACTCCTTCCTTATATCCCGTATATCTGGAGACAAACCAAACGAGCGATATATCAGATGACGCGCTATAAGTGATAGCCTATACCTATAACGAGTTTTGTCTGTTTTCGATCTCCATATTTTTTTTGTGGGTTATATTTCATACAATGCTAGTTTCAAGGTTAATGATTAGAATCAGATAACAGTTCCTTGATAGTAGAAATTTAAAAATTACTTGGCTAAAGTGTTTTTATATGTGGAAGACAAAAAAGCGTGATATATCTGAATGATCGATATAACAAGAGACTACTGTATTATTTAAGTTATAGATATGGGATAAGAGAAATAATTTTATTTAATTACTTATAGGGGAAAATGAAATGATATCAGTGAATTAGATTTACCTATACTGAAGAAGAATAATTATAAACCACCTTATTTTTGATATTTTTCTAGTTAAACATTGCAATATTAATAAAATATAATCCGATTTCATTATTGATTTGTCGTTAGCCAAATATTAGCAAATACAAACCAACAAGACTATTTCTTCGTATTTGCTCTTCTAATATAAATAAGACATCATTTATTCTAATATCTAATTAATTAGGAAATCGCTGCAAAAAATAAATATGAATCATATATTTGTTTTGTAATATATATTATAAAAAGCATAATTATTCTCATTTTTAATCAAGAAAGGTTCTTTGTTTACATACAGAATGTGGCATTTTTTACATTTTTACTTAATTTCCATTATTTTTAAAACAAAAAATAACCTTATAATTTTATCAAATGACTCTATACTGTTAACAAAAACTATTTTAATTAATAGTTATATTTATTACAACTAAACTATACATTTATCAATTCTAGTTTATTTCTTGAGTGATTAAAACTAGATTATTTTACGTTTTATATTTTATTAAATATTGCTTTAAAAAATAATTCTATGTTAGATTAATCTATTTTGTATGTAGATAGAGTTTACTCTTTTATTTATTTACATAATAAACAATTACGATTCATTTTTATAATAATATTCATGTTTATATTAATATAACATCATCATCTTTTCATTGTTTTCTTATAGTTATATAGCAATTATAATATTTTCATGAAAAAAAGTAAATTGCTATTTATCACTGTTGTAAATTACTGGTAATGCTTAATTTTCATGTTTATCTGTTAGAATTTCAAAATGAAATAACTTTGCAATTGTGATTAATTTTTTATAATCTGTGATCATAATAAAATCATATTAGTGAAAATATTTTAAAAATTCAAATATTTATTAGCATAAATTATTGAAAATAACTCGTTAAACATCTATATAAAATAATTTGAGATTAAAAATAAAGCATAGGCCTACTATTCTATGCCATATTAGGCCATTAGTCTGTTATTAGTTGTTGGCATACATTTTCTGTTGAAAATAGTTATTATATGCAAGTTACTATTAAATAAATAAAAATATGTTTCAATTTATTACGATGTTTTTTTCCAGAAAATTCACAAAATACATGTATTTAGCTACAGAAAATTCTTAAATATTAAATTTTAGTTAGTTACTAAGTCAGATTATAACTTCTAAAACAAACCTTTTTTAAATAAATAATCTGATATTTCTGAATATCTGTTGTATTTAAAAAAAAGGTATTAACCGTCTGTTCCTTTTTAAATTAATAGGGGAGAATAGCATAATAAGGATGAATAATTTTAACTATTATATTTAGTATTCTTCAATAAGAACGTTTACTGAAAACGATAAGGGAGAGAAAAGGAAACAAACAGAAAGATAAATAAGAATCGGAAATAATTGGAACAGAGAACGAAGTAATTAAACTAAAAATATCCAAAATTGACTACTCAAACTTTTAATTAAACGTGGAAACAAATAATTAAAGATGTATTTCTAATTAAGTTAGACTAATAAAAGGATGCTAATGCCAATACGAATAGCCTACCATAAAACATGGTTTCATTATTAAATAAAAGGAAATAAACAATAATAGAATTATTTCATAAAATAACGCAAGTCATTAAAATCTAAGAAAGATCTATAAAATAACAGGAGAGTTACGAAATAAGAATACAAGTTTTGAGTAAATTACACGAAAGTATGAAATTTTATTTAGCAAATTTTTTAAAGTACTGTTACAAATTGAAGTAAACGTTTAGTTCATTACTATGACTTATTAATAACTACGAATTAATACCTGTCGCTAAATTTAACGCATAGTTATTGTAATAGATAGTAAAAAAATTGGAAATGTTTGTAAAAAGTGTTGTTGTATAAAATAAAATGAAAAAAACAATAACATAATCGACACTTTGTAATGTTAACTAATAGTCAAAATTATCATATTAAAGTGTTTTGAAGAAATAAATACAGTAGTCTATATAAATTTCTATACATAATAGGCCTATATAGAAATAACTTTTCTAATCATATAGTATACATATATATATAATAGAAGTGATATTTTTAAACATTTTTTTCAATTTTTAACTCTTTTATAACTTTTATTTACTTCCTTATGTACAAAAATGTAACTTATATATCAGATCTTTCCTTACACCAAATGATAATAACCTATAAATAAAAGTGAGATTATAAGCTGAAATCTCGTGCAATGAAGCGCTAAAACTGCAGATTTTTTAGCTTATATGGTACATAAATCCGTTCCTAAATACCTGTACAATTTTTTAAAACTAACTACATATAATTCCCATTACATAAAAGATAAATTGCGTGTTTTGGTTGTATGCTGTATAAATTAATTACACATATATCTTTAAACGCTAGTAATTAAAATGAAAATATATAATTTTATTTGTTTTCGAGCATCATTAATCTTAGTTAATCTCTGAGTCGCCAATTTTTTACAGATATTATTCTTACCGAATTTTTAAGGAGTCGAATTCAATAAAAATAGTAGAAATGATGATGACTTTTAATGTTAAATTAATAATTACAATTATAATAACGTAGTTATAAACATATATATATATACATTATTTTTTTTAAATTATAGGCTTGTTAACTGGAGAAAATGTTTGCATTTAAAGGGACTTTGTTAATACTATATATAGTGCTTTATTTAACGTGATAAACATACGTTTTTGTTTCCGAATCGCAGTTTCATTCATTATAATGACTGATTGCATAATTAACTAATATTCATCTTTATTCTAAAATTAACCAGCTATTTCAAAACGTTTATCAATCATTCTTTTACTTCGATGAGTGGAGTCGTTCGTTGAATACTAATTTTCATGGCATGTGTACAGGATTTAATAAAAACACATTATTTTTTCATAACTTACTTTATTAATTTTTACAATATATAGTAATACAATATAGTAAACTACAGAGGAATTGGACGGGTGCAAAACAAATATACAGTATACTGTTTTATTTTATATTCTTTTAAAATTATTTTTAAATAGAAGGGACTCACGATGAAACTCCCACCGTGTGCATTGGTTTTGGCCGGAAGTAGGCTAAATAATTTATAATTAACAAATGCTGAAAGGTTTGTTTAAATTATATACGAAACAACAGTTAAATGCTCTTAAACAATGGCGTAAGTTTAAGCTACTGGTCCCAGAGAAAAACAGTTGCGAGTGAATAAGAAAATATCTTCTCAAGCAAATTTCCTCGAAGAATGTCTGAAGTCTATACTGTACATGAGGCCTCCTAATTTAAATTTTCCTGGGCCCTACGAAGCTATAACGCGCCAGTGGTGACACGCCTTAACTGAGCGGCCTTAGGATATATCTGAAGCTTCAATTGGGTGATGAAAATATCAAAAAAAAATTAAATCAATAAAAAAAATACTTAAGATAAAAACAGTGAAAGAAAATATAAATGACCGTTATGATAAAATATAGAATTTTAATTTTCCTGGGCCCTACGAAGCTATAACGCGCCAGTGGTGACACGCCTTAACTGAGCGGCCTTAGGATATATCTGAAGCTTCAATTGGGTGATGAAAATATCAAAAAAAAATTAAATCAATAAAAAAATACTTAAGATAAAAACAGTGAAAGAAAATATAAATGACCGTTATGATAAAATATAGAATTTTAAATTATATATTCGGTACAAGGCCTACACTAATGTTGGTAGCACAATTTAAATAATAATTGTTTCAATAAAAAATATATTAAAATATAATTTAATTATATATAAATATTTTAAATAGTTAGAAGTAAAATTTTGTTTACAAATTTATGGTATTGAAACAAACATTACAGTAGAAATAGTAAAAGAATACGTGTAACATTCATACATATTTATAGATAACTTGTACCAAGTAATTGTAGAAAATGAATCATCATTTTTAAATATTCTATATATAATAAGATTCCTTGCTCGGTTTTTTCATTGTTTAAGATGAAAGTTTTTCTTTTGCTTATATTTTTTGCTATTATTCTGTCCTTCGGTACGTAAAATCGTTTTAAACGTGCCTTTTTTGAAAGAGCTATATATTATATATATGTATAAATTTTCTGTTTTAGACGCAGCAGAAGTCAAGGAATGTCCGTTAAGTCACAAGAAAAAACATCATAAAAAACATTCCCAAAGAAAACAAAGAGATATTAATACATTTTTGGGAGTAAGTATTAAAATATAGGCCTATATATTTTACAAATTAAAAATGAAAATAATTTAAATTTTTATTTTTAGGATATGAGAGACGATGTGGATAAGGTAAATGTTATTTTAAACGTTTTTGAATATCCCTAGCAGATGAATTAAACACGGATATTTGATATTTACTTTCAGGTTGTTTTGGGCCATAGTTTCTGTAAGTACAGTTTAATTCATTCGTACTTAAGTGTTTTAAAATAATTATTTTTTAAAATTTTTACCCGAAAAGCATTAACATATTTTCAATATATTTAAATTGATTATTTAATTTAATTTTATAGGATAGATTAAAAGATCACAACATGAAGTCCCTTGTACTAAAATTTTAAATAATTTAAATTATCACAAATATTCATATCAATTCTGCACTGAATTTTTTTTGTATTTTTCTCACTTTTGAATATTTAGTCATTTTAGTCATGGATATTATAATAAATTATAACTAACAAGTTTTAATTTATTTAATATTTAAATTTAGATAATAAAATATGATTAATGAAATTGTATTTTTTATTAAATATACGTATAAAATTTCTGTAAATTTATCTGGGAAAAATAATTATTGGTATAATTTTTAATTAAGATAAAAATTCTGTACAACAAAATTATGTTAAACTAACTTGCACCTTTGAAATTGTTAGAAATAGAAAATAAAATGGTTTATTTAAAAATAACAAATTTTTCGTCATTATTTTCATATATATAACAATACTTTTAGGTATTACAAAAATTATCAACAGATTTTTATTCTTTAAAACCGGAAGGCATTGCTAAACACTGCAATGCTTTTCACAAATGTAATGTATTAATTTAAGAACAAATGATGTGTCTTTGTTAATAATTTTTGTAATACCTAAAAGTATTATTATTTACACAGTAAAACCTGTCTAAAACGGAAACCTGCCTAAACGGAAAAAAATAATTTCTTTTTATACACAGATTTTACTCTACAGGGTGTCCCAAAGTTTCCATACATACAAAGGTAAAATGTAACTTTATTCACAAAACATTAAAATGTCAGCCTTAAGATTTGTGTTAGTGGATTGACGGAGTAAGGCAACTGAACACATCGGTGATTTGCCAATGGGGTAACTTCTAGCAGGACTTCCTATGTGAAAACTGGATCATGTTTAGGTGTTAGACATATGAAGAAAACCTAGAACACTGAATGGTGGCCATCTCATTGATCAGGCACGAACCAATGACCACCAGTGTTTAATGGTTTTATTTATTCCTCAATGGTGGGCTTGATTTGTGTCACGGTATTGGGACATCCTGTATATAAAACATGGCGTAAGTTACTTAACTTACAACATCGTCATATGTATCACACATATGCTCGTATATAAATCACAACGTGTCGTATGTATAACTATATTTGGCATACTTTTTTATTGTTTTAATCAATGCTTTATAATTAATTCATATAATTATGTCCTCAATCATTTTCCAATTTTAAATTGCTAAATACTTTTATACTATAGTTATCTTTTTATATATTACGCATTTATCGCACAATCATTAATATGAAATATTTCATAAACTATTTAATGAATGTTGCAATGTCGTGTGTATTTATTTAAAGTAGCATTCATCTTGATTTAATTTAAAAATAAGNTTAATGAAATTGTATTTTTTATTAAATATACGTATAAAATTTCTGTAAATTTATCTGGGAAAAATAATTATTGGTATAATTTTTAATTAAGATAAAAATTCTGTACAACAAAATTATGTTAAACTAACTTGCACCTTTGAAATTGTTAGAAATAGAAAATAAAATGGTTTATTTAAAAATAACAAATTTTTCGTCATTATTTTCATATATATAACAATACTTTTAGGTATTACAAAAATTATCAACAGATTTTTATTCTTTAAAACCGGAAGGCATTGCTAAACACTGCAATGCTTTTCACAAATGTAATGTATTAATTTAAGAACAAATGATGTGTCTTTGTTAATAATTTTTGTAATACCTAAAAGTATTATTATTTACACAGTAAAACCTGTCTAAAACGGAAACCTGCCTAAACGGAAAAAAATAATTTCTTTTTATACACAGATTTTACTCTACAGGGTGTCCCAAAGTTTCCATACATACAAAGGTAAAATGTAACTTTATTCACAAAACATTAAAATGTCAGCCTTAAGATTTGTGTTAGTGGATTGACGGAGTAAGGCAACTGAACACATCGGTGATTTGCCAATGGGGTAACTTCTAGCAGGACTTCCTATGTGAAAACTGGATCATGTTTAGGTGTTAGACATATGAAGAAAACCTAGAACACTGAATGGTGGCCATCTCATTGATCAGGCACGAACCAATGACCACCAGTGTTTAATGGTTTTATTTATTCCTCAATGGTGGGCTTGATTTGTGTCACGGTATTGGGACATCCTGTATATAAAACATGGCGTAAGTTACTTAACTTACAACATCGTCATATGTATCACACATATGCTCGTATATAAATCACAACGTGTCGTATGTATAACTATATTTGGCATACTTTTTTATTGTTTTAATCAATGCTTTATAATTAATTCATATAATCATGTCCTCAATCATTTTCCAATTTTAAATTGCTAAATACTTTTATACTATAGTTATCTTTTTATATATTACGCATTTATCGCACAATCATTAATATGAAATATTTCATAAACTATTTAATGAATGTTGCAATGTCGTGTGTATTTATTTAAAGTAGCATTCATCTTGATTTAATTTAAAAATAAGTATTTTTGTTTCTTCAGCTGTAATTCAAAACAAATTTTACCAAAAATGATTTTATGAATTATTAATACAATATTAAAAAATAATAAATTGAACAATGACGGATGCATAGCGAAAATACAATTTTATTTGTATTTTTATTTTACATATATTCTTGTCCATCGAAACTTGATGCTAATCGTCTAAAATATGATTCATCGTCCGCTGCACTCGCCATATTGTCGACCATTCTGACAATCTCTTCTATGTCTACTCCTTCATCCACTATTATAACGATATCTTCGGGACATGTTTCTTCAACGGGAGGAGGAGGAGGTATGGGTGGAAGCGGAATAGGAGGAGGCTCTTCAATTACCGGTTGAACGAAGACATGGATTTCTTTTGAAGGTGGTGGAGGCGGAGGTGGAGGAGGTGGAGGTGGAGGCGGAGGCGGCGGTGGAGGGGGCGGAGGCGGAGGAGGAGGAGGAGGAGGAGGATGAGAACAGGAAGATGACTGAAAAATAAATATTTGTTTAGAATCTGTTTACAATAAATTATTAATTAAGACGATAAATAACTATATAAATAACGCTAATTTCGAATTCAAAAACGGGATTAACATAGATTAATTTTAAAAATTGAAATTTTATAATTCTATGAAAGTTAATTTTGAATCATTAATCATTTTAAGATTAATGATTCAAATGACTTATGCATTAGACATTTTATGTCTAATGCATAAATCAGAGTTTTTCAGTAGGGTCGGTATCGAACCCCTAGGGGTCAATGAAAGTTTGAAAGGGGTTAATAAGATTCTACATTGATATCTATGACTGATTAATTTGCCTACAGGAGAAGTTAATGCATTAAATGTAGTTAGGATCATGTATTAATGATCGGTCGCATGCTTATAGTGGTAAGTCTGATCAGCATCCGTTCTGGCCTATTTATAGAGAATGAGTGGTAAATGGAAAACAACGTTCTGACTAAAAAATTAAAAAGATTAAGATTTGCAAATATTTATAAAATTTCTTTTAAAAAACTTGAATATATCTTTAAGTGATAAAAAAATATTCTACATACCGGAAGAGAGAGAGGCTGACTGAGAGTAACGACAGGAATCTGAAGAGTATAAGTTTGTTGACTTGGTCTGCCACCACTCTGACGTCCATTACAGTTACTCTGTCTACGTTTTACTCTTCGAAGTCTATGCTGGGTCTGATTGATCTCATCATCGATATTTCTTCTTTGCAATCCGGCTTTAAATTTTTTTTTGGAATAAAAATTTTAAAAACAAATATTTGAAAGTTTAATATAAGTACAGTATTACTAATTATTTACTTAACACGTTAGCAAATGAACTTATGTGTGTGTATTACTTTTGTATAAATTAGGCCTATATGAACTATGGTTTACAATAGACATTGAAAACTTCTCAAAAAGTATTCTAAATATTCATTATTTTCACTTATATTATTTACATTAAGTGAATTATAAATTTATCTTTAGTACTTTAATTCTTAACTTTGGCTCCATTATTATTTTTGAAAAGACTAATGTCCATTAGTCTACATATGTAAAGGAAGATAATGTTGAGTTCGTTACGAAATAGAACATAATATACAATAAAGAACATATATTAGAAAATATGTTTAAACTGAAAATTTTCGGAATTTTTAAGAAAAAAAACCGTGAGATTATAAAAAAACACGAAACGTCACGCTACGGAGACTTTTTTGGCTGCAATTTGAAAAAATTGTAGACAATAAACTCCCACTGTCGTCCGTCTGTCCGATCGTCTGCCTGTCATTCCTTAATCTCGATAATGGAGTTAGATAGATGAAATCAGAGATCAGATATGAAAGCCGAAGGATAAGAGGCCCCAATTAACAATATCAGAACTTCCGATGCAAACCGGAAATAACGTTATTTCAATTGAAAAGTTTCTTCTGAAAGGAGTTAGATAGATGGCACGACTCTATTGCTGACAGAAAAAGTATAATTGTACAGAAGCAAGCCACTGCTAATTTGAGTTCGAAAGCATATATTTTAAATTAAATAAATTAAAAATATGATTAAAAATTGCAGCCTACGAGACAACCTCGTAAAAATGAAACAGTATCAAATTATTAATTATATGTAACTTACTGTACAGTGAGGCAGCAAAGCTTGCCTCACTTTATTAATTTTTATCTTTATTAATTTTTATCTTATGGAATGCTCGACATGTTTTTCGAAAATTTAAACATTGCATTTCGAAGAATCTTCGTTGATTAGTTACAGCAACGAAGTGTTATATATTTATGATCTAGCAAATCGGCTCCATTTTTATTCCGGAAAATACTATCCAAACAAAAACATCTGAAATGTAAAAAAACATTGCGCCAAGTATAAAATTAAGACAATTTAGATAACAGTGAAAGGTTATCTTTTGAGCGTTTGCTTTGGTAAAGATTAACTTGGCGCTTTAAAACGAATAGTAGAAGATACAAGTAGATAATACAAGTAAAAATCTTGTGGGTCCGGCTTAGAAGAGCCAAACTTATCTTTACCAAAGAAAAACTCTTAAGAAGAAAAAAATTGATTGTCATATNACGCAATTATTTTACATCTCAGATGTTTATATTTTATTTTACTTTTTGGTAATTCGAGAAATAGTCATTATTTATATGGTTTTCTTTGTTTCTGTCTAATTAAAAGCTGTAAACATTAATATATAAATAAATAATAACATAATAATAGTAATATCCATTATAGGCCTATATTATTATCATGGCCGCCCATAGATTTTAAGGTTTCGTGTAGACGGATAATAGTGTAAA